GCCATGGCGGCCAGCAGACAGCACTCAGTCTGACCCATCCAAGAAGCCACAAAACACTGTGTGGCACAGGCAATGAAGGAAATCATTTTTTTGTCTTTAAAGAGGTCTGAAAGCATCCTGGGGCTGATGGAAGTAGTATAGCAGATGTCTATCGATGACAGGACACTGAGGAAAAAGTACATTGGTGTGTGCAGGTGGGAGTCCATCCTGATCAGGATGATGAGACCCAGGTTCCAGAATAATGTCACAAGGTAGATCACCAGGAAAACTGGGAAGAGACTAAGCTGCAGCTCCTTTTCTTCTGAGATTCCCAGGAGAACAAACATTGTTACAGACGTGAGGTTTCTGTCTCCTCCCATGGACCTACTTGTCACCATCTACCAAGAAAAGATGAAAGATGAAATGGTTTCAAAAAACAGGGGGAAAAAATCTCTTCATTGTTCTCTTTCATGGAGATGATTAAATATACAAGCATGATACATTGATGCTGAGTTAATTATTCCTTTTTGTATAATCAGCAAACTTAATGAAAAATCAACTTTATAAATATTTTCACTCTCCCTCTGAGACAAGATACAGTAGGTAGGCATCATCAATATGCTATTTACCCACGAAATATAAGTATTTCCCTTGTCCCTTAAAAATTTACAATCACGGGCCCTCCCTGGTTCGCAGCGGGTTAAAGCACAGCACTGAGAAGCTAAAGCCACTTCCACATGAGTTCAATTCCAGCCTGCCCCGGATGTGACCACATGGCGCAGCAGACCTCTCCTGACCCCCCACTGCTCCCCTCAGCAGTGTACTTCTAGATCTGCCTGTTCTGCTCCCCACCCTGTCTCTGGGGAAGCCTTTCACCACCCCTGTGCCACTGGCCTATACCCCAGCTCTGTATGCACAAATGAATAAATCTTAAAAAAAAAAAAATTTACAACCGCGTGCCAATTGGAATTATACAAATTAGGGAGACACTGTCCTATCTGCACATGGTGAGGTGTAGTCACTTTAACTAGTCAGCCCCATTTGAATCCAGTGCTTGGAAAAGACCCTGAATCATGTGAAGCTTCAGTATAAAGTGAGGGTGTTCAGTGGGTGCTTTTTAATCATCTTCAGAATTAACATTCAATTAATCTATAATAAAGAAAGACTTAGAATTTGTAAGTGCTTTTCCTTTTCACAAAATCTAGAAGACACAAAAATTATTTAATAGGAACTTTGAAAGAGTGACATTAAAGTAGTGACTTCGAAATGGATATGACTAAACCATATTTTAACACTAGGAAGCCACCCGAGATGTTAGACAATACAACTTGAAAGAGATTCATGCTTCCTCCCTTGAACCTACAGATTTGTCTTCCTTAATACAGACACTTATCATTTAAATTGTCTATGAAGGCGGTTCTTGCTCTTCTTGGACTCAATGATACTTTTAAAAATCTGTTGGTAAATGAGACCCTGCTCCCAGCAAAGTCACCATCACCCCCAGGGCACCGTCTTATTGGATTATCTGTCACCACAGAGTCTACAGTCATTTCCAGGTGAAAGATTCATTCTACAAAAGACAGAGACTAGAGCTCATGAATGTCAGCATGTGTGAACAGTGGACATGAGAACTGGGAAATGAAGCAAGTTCTGGGATTTTTTCCCTCCATTCCTGCAGTCAGTACAGGAAAATGAAGACTTTCATCTCTGAGGCAAACTCACAACTCTGCCTGCAGTGAATGTCTCCCTGAGGGTACATAGTGGTCATTTGTCTCCAGGTGGTCTTTTAAGAGTCTCATTTGACACTAGGTGACATGTTTTCTTAGTCCATATACGGAAAACTAGAGTTCAATATCATGTTCTTGAGAAATTGCAGAACTAGATACAATCATCAGCCCTCAGCCCAGACTAATGCCTGACATTAATCTTGTCTCTAAGGTCAGGGAATTGGATAAGAGGGAAAGTTCCATGGGAAGACACCACCATAGAGGGCAGGGAAGGGAGGGAGAGGGAAGTGCTGAAGATGGCAGTGACCGGGTGTCATGCATCTGTCCCCACAGCTCCTGCTAGGGTTCACACAGCTGTAAAGACAGCACAGAATCTTATTTCTAAATCTCGCTTCTCACCTTGACCAAGATCCCTCAGGAATACACACTTCTTGCCAAGTATGAAAATATTGTATTTCTTCTCTGAAAAATGTTCCAGGATGGACTCGGTTGATTCCAGGGTGGGAGCTGTGAGCCATGAAACAGGTTATTCACTGACAGCAAGAGAGATGCTCACGAGTGGAGAGTCCTCTAATATTTATTGTCACGGGCAGCAGAGTGGGAGGGAGGGACAATTAGAGGGAGGGAGCTCTCCAGGCACCTGCTCTCTGGGGTGATGTTGCTGTAGAAGTTTGGTCACAGCTATTTACCCCATTTTTTCCAGTTCCCTTCTGGTCTTTTTTTCCCCATAGTCCTGCCATAATCATGTGGTTATAGATTTTGTTTTAACAAACTTGTAACAAATTAGAGTTGGAAATATCTTAGGAATTGCCCTATGCCATACATTTAATTTCCAGGGAAGTGAGTTGAAGCGTGGAGCTAAGGAATTTGCCCAAGATGACAGAGCCACTTGCTAAATGACTTCACAGCAATAACACAAGTTGTGGATACCCAGCTTACCAGGCACACACTTTTACCATTTCCCTGACCTGAACTAATCACCATAACAGCCCTGTAAAGCATAGCTGGAGTAGTCCCTATTCATAAGAGAGGAAATAGGGACAAGAACTAATGCAATAAAATCCATATTTAGTCAGGGCACCACTGCCCTGGTAAGAACCTCGGGCAATGTGACAGTCAGTCGGGTTGGAGCTGACTTTTCACTTATTGGTTGTGTGACCTGAGCAATCGATGACCTCCTGGTCTCAGGTGGTCCCCTAAAAATGGGAGGTAGTCATAGTTAGCACATAGAGTAGCCCTTCAAGGCGAGAATTAGACTAGATAATGTCTGTGAAGTAATTATCAGAGTGTGTCTTACACACGCTGCCATCTATTAATAGACACTGTCATTCATGTATCCTGATATTCATCACTCCAAATCATATTTAACTTCACTAACATACCTACCTGGGGTCATGCCCCCAACCTTTCTTTCTTGGTTCTTTTTGAACCCTGCTGTGATTAGGTGTACAGGCTAGTTTTAGACAAGGTCTAATCTAAGTCTCAGGGTGCAAGTCATGGATGGGGCAATGACTTCATTGTATTATATTACACCTGCTAGCACATTAGTTTATGTATTCCCCCTGATAAGAACTGTAATATAGCCTTTAACAGAACACATTCCTTTTTTATAAGAAGAAAATAGTTTGATTTAAAATAGCTTTTATTGAATTAATATTGGTTGATGTGACTATTTGTATTACAGGATGCTGCATTCCCACCTGCAGATGTCGCTGCCATGGCTCACCCACCACCACAGAACCCGCAGTCCACACCTTAGACTCTTGTGCTCCCCACCCACCACTGTCTATCTTCCCTTGCTTTTTCCCTTCCCTACAGTGCTTTTCCTCCATTCCACATTTAGCTGTCAAGATAACTGAACATTTTCTTAAGATAATCTAAAGATGTCCACTAAGGTCAAAATGGGATGCCCCAATCAAGCGTTGAATTTCCTGCTCTGGGTCCGTAAGAGCTATTTTTGTTCCACAGGTCACACTTTGTGACACACATAATGAATTTTGGCTACATTACGACAAGCATGGCAGAACTGTAAGTACACCAATATTCTAGAGGTGATGTGGGAACAGGACGTCACCTACCCCCTTTACATGTTTATTGAAAAACTAAATCCATGCAGTTCTAGAGGGCAAAGTGTTCTATAAGTACAAGCGTATTACAGACACTTCATAACCATTGTCTAAAGAAAATCATTTTTGTACACGGGACTGCCAAGTGGTAACTCTCTGATCCCTGGTCAGCTGAAGGCCCTGGACTTCTGGGAGGCTCACTTCACTGGGCTTTGGGTTCCACTTCTGACAGACAACATGGCGTCCGTCATTTCTGCTCTCTTGTTCAGTTTCTGTGAAGATTCCATGGAACGAGTTCCAACTCTTATGTGCTCAGAATTTGATGACTTGGGTCCTTTCTAACCTATTTTTCTCAATTCACTTCAAAAGGAGGCTTAGGAATAACATGGAGGAAACAGTTTTTTCAAAGTAAATCCGGAGCAGTCTTTACCTCTTCCAAATATTCTTCTTCCTCCTCAATTTTCTCCTTTGCCTCCGCATCTCTCTCTCTCTCCCTCTCTCTCTCTGTTTCACTATTTCTCTCGCTCTCTTTCTCACACACATTCACTCATTCAGCTTCCTCTACTGGTGTTAAATTATAAATCATACTTTTAAAATAACTATTTTATTTTCATATTATTGTTCCACAACTTTATTGGTTTATAATAAATTATTGTTTACTTAATATAAAGAAATGTAGAAGATCAGGAAATGAACAGTCTGTGTGGTTTATGCCATTTCTCTCCTCTCTATCAATGGCCTTCATCCCAACTCTCCTTGATGAAAACTACAATATGTTCATTCTCTCAATTATTAATTTTCAATACTTAACTTATACATTTTTTTTAATTTTTAATGAAATATAAAAAATGACAAAATATATTCAGGGAAGAAAGAACAATTTGTGTGATTTCCTGGGTGCTTCTCGTTTCTCTACACAAAATATTTATCAGAACTCTGTTCTCAAACCCAGAATTTACCTACATGGGTCTAAGCTGGAATCATGCTGCCCAGCATATTGGAGCTTCTGTTCCCAGAGAAACTGTTTGCGCAGCACTAAGCCTAAGGGCACCAGGAATCAAGAAGCCAGATTCTGAACTTGTCTGCCTAGATATTCTTATGACCTACAATAGGATGCTACATATTCTGACCACTGCATTCCATTAAGGAGAAATACATAGCCACAAGTTGTTTGTTTTTCTACTGTATTTTGCTTTCTTTTCTTCAGATAAGGCACAAACTATTGTACTTAATGAGACAAATGTGTTGCCCTCTTCACCACCCTCCTGAGGGCCTCCTTGATCTCTTTGTTCCTCAGACTATAGATAAAAGGATTTAACATGGGGATAATGATAATATAGAATATGGACAGAAACTTGTTCTGTTTTGTGTAGTTACCAGAACTAGGATGCAAGTATACAGCGAGGGCTGTGCCATAGAAGAGGGTCACAACCGCCAGGTGGGACGCACAGGTGTTGAAGGCCTTGGCGCTACCTTTGACGGAAGATAACTTTATGATGGAAGCTGCAATGAAACCATAGGATAACAAAACTATAACCATAGAACCTCCAGCAACAAAAAGAATGACCAGAAAAAGACTCATTTGACCAATGAAAGGATTAGAACAAGATAGACTCATAATTTCAGGTATGTTACAGAAGAAATGCTGGATTAAATTTGGTCCACAGTAGTATAACTCAAACCCAGTGATTGATTCAACTAAGCCAGAAAGGAAACCACACACAATGGCCCCAGCAGCCTTCTTCCAACAGAACCCAGGTGCCATGATGGTTGAGTACTGCAGAGGGTGGCCAATGGCCACGTATCTGTCATAGGCCATGGCGGCCAGCAGGCAGCACTCAGCCTGACCCATCCAGGAAGCCATAAAAAACTGACTGGCACAGGCAATGAAGGAAATGACTTTTTTATCTTTGAAGAAATCCGAAAGCATCCTGGGGCTGATGGAGGTAGTATAGCAGATGTCTATCGATGAAAGGACACTGAGGAAAAAGTACATCGGTGTGTGCAGGTGGGAGTCCATCCTGATCAGGATGATGAGACCCAGGTTCCAGAACAATGTCACAAGGTAGATCACCAGGAAGACTGGGAATAGACTAAGCTGCAGCTCCTTTTCTTCTGAGATTCCCAGGAGAACAAACATTGTCACAGACGTGAGGTTTCTGTCTCCTCCCATGTACCTGCTTGGCACCATCTGCTGAGAAAAGATGAAAAATAAAATGGCTTCATTCTAGAATACAGGAAAAGAATTCTCTTCATTATTCTCTTCATTATCCTCTAACTATACAAGCATGAGCCTTGTATAGGCACTGAATGAGCCTTGACTCTTTGTATAATCAGCAACCTTAATGAAAAATTATCTTGGCCAAATATTTTCAGTCTTACTATGAGACAAGACACGGTAGCTGGGCGTCATCAGTACTTTATCCACAAAATATCAGGATTTCCCTTGTCTCTTACATATTTCCAACCACATGCCAATTGGAATTATACAAACTGGGGGACACTGTCCTATTGCACAGGGCGATGTGTGGTCATTTTAACTAGGCAGCCCCATGTGAGCACAGAGCTTAGAGAAGACCCTGCATCATGCAAAGCCTCAGTGTAAAGTAGGATGTTCAGTAGGTGCTCTTGAAAATCACCTTCAGAAGCCGCCCAAGTTGTTAGACAATACAAACTTGAAAGAGATTCATGCTTCCTTCCTCAAATCTAAAGATTTTTCTCCCTTAATACAGACACTTATAATTTAAATTGACAGGGAAAGGGTTCTCGCTCTTCTTGGAGTCAATTACACTTTTAAAAATCTTTTGGAAAATCAGACCCGCCACCAGAACAGCCACTGTCAGTCCCTGTGCACAGTCTTATTGGATTCTTAGTCACAACGGAGTCTACAGTCATTTCCAGGTGACAGACTCATCCTACAAAACACAGTGATTTGAGCTCATAAATGTCAGGTTGTATTAGCTGATGGACATGAAAACTGGGAAACTGAGGCTGGTTCTAAGATTCTTTTCTCCTCACCATAGACAGTACAGGAAAATGAAGACCTGCATCTTTAAGACAAATACTGTGAACTTATCTCCCAGCTGTGAGTATCTGCCTGAGGGGAAACAGCGGCCAATGTCTCTACATGGCCTTTTGAGAGTCTCACTTGATTCTAAGTGACATATTTTCTTAGTTCATATATGGAAAACGAAAATGTGGCAGAGTTCATATCATGTTCTTAAGAAATTGCAGAACGAAATACAATCATCAGTCCTCACCCCAGAGTAATACCTGACATTAATCTTGTCTCTGAGGTCAGGAAATTTGGATAAGAGGGAACATTCCACGGAAGACACCACTGTGGAGGGCAGGGAAGGTAGCAGAGGCAAGTGCTGAAGATGGAAGTGACCGAGTTTCATGCTCCTGCTCCTCACAGCTCCTGGTGAGTGCTACACAGCTGTGGAGACAGCACAGAATCCTCTTATTTCTAAATCTCACTTCTTACCTTGACCAAGATCCCTCAGGAATACACACTTCTTGCCTAATTGAAATAGTATATTTCTTCTCTGAAAATGTTCCAGGATGGACCTGGTTGACTCCAGGGTGGGAGCTGTGAGCCATGAAACAAGTTGTTCACTGACAGCAAGAGAGATGCTCACGAGCGGAGAGTCCTCTAGTATTCATTGTCAAGGGCGGCACCGTGAGGATAAGGGACCATGAGCTGGAGGGGGCTCTCCAGACACCTGCTCTCTGGGGTCATGTTCCATGGAGCTTTGGTCACAGCTAATGACCCCATTTTTTCCAGTTCCCTTCTGGTCCTTTCTTCCCCACCATCTTGGCATAATCTCATAGTTATAGATTTTGTTTTAACAAACTTGAAGTAATTAGCACTGGAAATGTCCTAGGAATTGACCCATGTCATATATTCAATTTCCAGGGAAGTAAGTTGAATCACAGATCTAAGGAATTTACTCAAATGACACAGCCACTATAAATTAGATATGTGGACAGTCCCATATACCAAGCACACATTTTTTTAATTATTTTATAACAGTTTATTTTTACATCATTTTGTACTTTTTTTTTCTTTCTCAATTGTAATCCCCACAGGTTTCCCATCACCAAGTCACCCATGTGCCATCACCATAATCCCGTGCACTTCCCTCCCCACCCCATTTTTGACCCCACTCCCCAGTCCACCTCCACAAAATGTCTCTGGTATATGGTTGTTCATTATTCTTGTTATTTTCTCTCCTGGTCCATTATACTCCTGACCAAGCACACATGTTTTAAGTATACTAATACATACATTTTATCAATTCCCTGGCCTGAATTTATCATCATAACAGCCCAAGGAACGATACATGCATTATTTCCCATTCATAAAAAAGAAAACTGAGAAAGAGAGTAAATGCTATAAAATTAAGGGTTGTGCCACACAAGAGTCCCACCCACAAGGTAGGAGGCACAGGTGTTGAGACTTTGGGGCTACTTCTGATACAGGGTGTTTCAGAATGGAAACTTCAATGGAACCAGAAGGGAAAGAATGGCAAAGACCCAACCCTATCAAAAACAGATGCAAAGTAAAAGGGTAATTCACAGATGAAATGCTGCATGGTGTTTGGTAGAGAAGAAAACAAGTGACTTAGCTAAGCCACCAGTAAAATTAATGAGCATTGCACATAAGCCCAAAACATGAGACATTTTTCTTTTATTTATTTGTTTATTTGTTGGTTGTTTTGTTCCAGTGATTTTTGGCATTAGGATAACTTAACATTCTCTACCAAAAGGAAACTGAAAGACAGGAGTTTAGTGAAGCAGAGTCCAGAGAAAGGTGGAGAAAAAGCGATCAGAAGGAAAAGTCAAGGATCCATGACTGTCATAGACAATTAGTAGTATAGTCAATTTTCTATAAATTCTCTTGGTTTGACTCCAACTTTCTGCCTCCAAAGTCAGCTGACTCCTCTGCTTCTTGGTCAAAGCTAAGGCCCTGGAATCCCAGGATGCACAGAATTTTGGGAACTCAGTTCTGCTCTGTAGACACAACATGGTGGTCATCATTTCTGAGTCTGAGTCAATAGGAAGCTTCCACAGTACACCTGTGCCCGAAATGATGCCTCTGACCTCCTCTACACTCTGAGTGTTTTCCAGTGTTTATTTTTAAATGTTCTCTTTTTCACAATTGTACTTACAAGGTGACTTGAAAATAAAGGCAACAGGTTTTGGGGGAGTAAAAAGAACAGCTTTCACCATGTCCTCCTTTTCCTCTTCTCCCTACATCTTTTCCCCTTACTACTCCTTCTCTTCCTGCTTCTCCTCCTACTTCTATTTTCTTCTTCCACTTGTTTTCTCTCTCCATCTCTCTCATCCTTCATCATTTTCCAGGATTAAGTTTATAATGTGTTCATTTTCTCAATTTTTAAATGTCAGTATTGAACTAACAAATTCTTTCACTTCTTAATTGATGTAGATGCAAATAAGGAAAAGAAGTTCAAGGGAGAAAGAACAGTTGGTGTGACATCCTAGGTTCTGCTCATTTCTCTCCATACAAAGTCCATCAGAATGTCTGTTCTCAAGGCCAGGGTTTATCTACATGGTCTAATCATGGAAAAGGGCTGCTTGATATGTTGGAGCTGCTGTTCAGACAGATTCCCACATGGAGACCACTGAGGATCAGGACACAAGGAAGCAAGAAGCCAAATTAGCACTGTTATTGGCTTGAGAGCCTTATGATTGAAGACACTGAAAGACACGTACCTATTCTTAACTTCTGTCTTCTATTTGGAATAGAAATCCCCATCCTATTTTTTGGTTGTTGTTATTGTTTTTCTTTCCTATTCTTCGCTTTTTCTGTTCAGGTAACATACCAAATAGTATTCTTTTTTTTTTAATTTTTTTAAAGATTTATTTATTTTTGCATACAGAACTGGGGTACAGGCCAGAGGCTCAGGGGTGTTGAAAGGCTTCACCAGAGACAGAGTGGGGAACAGAACAGGCAGATCAACGAAGTACACTGCTGAGGGGAGCAGCAGGCGGGTCAGGAGAGGTCTGTCACGCCATGTGGTCACCTCCGGGGCAGGCGGGAATCGAACTCACGCGGAGGCGGCTTTAGATTCTCAGTGCAGTGCTTTAACCCGCTGAGCCACCAGGGAGGGCCCCAAGTAGTATTCTTAATGAGATTAATGGGTTGTCTTTTTGATCACCCTCCTGAGGGCATTTTTGATCTCTTTGTTCCTCAAGCTATAGATAAAAGGATTTAACATGGGAATAATGATAACATAGAACACAGACAGAAACTTGTTCTTTTTTGTGGAGTGGCCAGAACTAGGATGCATGTACACAGCGAGGATTGTGCCATAGAAGAGGGTCACAACCGCCAGGTGGGAGGCACAGGTGTTGAAGGCCTTGGTGCTACCTTTGACAGAGGATATTTTCAGGATGGAAGCTGCAATGAAAGCATAGGATAATAAAATAATAATCAGAGGACCTAAAACAACTAAAGTAATTATCAGGAAAAGACTCATTTGACTGGTGAAGGGATTAGAACAAGACAAACTCATAATTTCAGTTAAGTTACAGAAAAAATTTTGGATGACATTTGGTCCACAGAAGTACATCTCAAAGCAAGTGACTATTTCAGTTAAGGTTGAAAGAAAACCACACCCAAGGGCTCCCGCAACCATCTTCCAACAGAACCCAGGTATCATGATGGTTGAGTATTGCAGAGGCTTGCCAATGGCCACATATCTGTCATAGGCCATGGCGGCCAGCAGACAGCACTCAGTCTGACCCATCCAAGAAGCCACAAAACACTGGGTGGCACAGGCAATGAAGGAAATCATCTTTTTATCTTTTAAGAGATCTGAAAGCATCCTGGGGCTGATGGACGTAGTATAACAGATGTCTATAAATGACAGGACACTGAGGAAAAAGTACATTGGTGTGTGCAGGTGGGAGTCCATCCTGATCAGGATGATGAGACCCAGGTTCCAGAACAATGTCACAAGGTAGATCACCAGGAAGACTGGGAAGAGACTAAGCTGCAGCTCCTTTTCTTCTGAGATTCCCAAGAGAACAAACATTGTCACAGACGTGAGGTTTCTGTCTCCTCCCATGTACCTGCTTGGCACCATCTGCTGAGAAAAGATGAAAAATAAAATGGCTTCATTCTAGAATACAGGAAAAGAATTCTCTTCATTATTCTCTTCA